TTTTTTCCTAAGGGAAAAAAAAGAAAAGAAAAAAGCTATTAAAGTGTGTCATATTAACCTAAATTAATTTGAAACAACAAAAAAAAAACCCAACCAGTTTTTAAAGAACAGCAGTATTTCTGAAGGAAAGAAAACAAACAACTACTTTGAATATAACTGAAAATCAGGAGGGAGCTGGAAGCCTTCTCGGGGCCGATTAAAGGGATGAAAAAAAGATCAGCTATTCAGCAGGGCTGGCTCGACACTTAGTCAGCACTATGATCCTAGGCACCTGGGGAACCTGTGAATAAATTAAAAAAAAATAAAAAAAAAAAGAAAGAGAGGTATCTATGAAGTTGAGATGCCTCCAGGTTGGATGGTCACCAGCAACGGCTTGTGAGCTTGTAACCCAAACCTTAAATTTAGGTGCTTGAGATCTTAAGGAGTCCTCTTTGGTATCTGAGCCTTCAGCCCACAAACTTAAGGAAAATTTAACACCAAATGTAAGTCCTAGTACACTTGGATAGTAAATAATGTCAGAAGCCTACAGCTTCACATAAGGTATTACCACCTCCAGGGATCTTAAATGGGTGAACAGCAGGTCATATGCAAATAAAGTAACATGGTAACTTTCCTGCAGTGGCAGGAAAATCAGACTAATCAGATAACTAGCGTGCCTGCGTTCGTCTTGAAACTGTCACATGTATTTTGAATATTTGACAAGATTTGAAATTATAGCTCCAAAGACACGAGTTGGCTGAATTCACGCTATACCGGGTATCATTTCTACTCCCGAACCGGCAAGCCTTGCACCCACGAGGGATTATTACCCACTTCAGACATACAAACTCACTACCAACAGTATTAACATCCGGAAAAACACACCAGCGATCTCTGTATAGCACAAGCAGCTGAGCAGTCAACCAGAATATTCACCACCTGCGAAGCACACACACACGGCTGTTAACACAGAAACCTGTCCCAACCCCAAAGGGCAGTAACGCGGGGACGGAGCCGTTCGCCGAAGGCGACCGGCAGCGCGAGGCGGGGAGCAAAGCAACAGGACGTACCCACCACCAAAGAGGTTTTTCCCTGGCAATGCAATGTTTCGAACTGCCCCAAGACGCTACCTCGCTTACACAGCCACACACTCACCTGGAATTTAAATTTGCTGATTTACTACTGCAAATTATCTAGGGTCAGACAGACAAAAATGCAATGCCACTTAAAAAACCGGACGTACGGGGCCTACTTTGTGAAATTAATTTTATTTTTGAAACATGATATCCAATTACAAATAAATAATTCATACAATATAACTCAATTAGGATATACAATGTTCAGGCAGTTCATAGTAACAACCAAGATCACATTGAAAATGAGTTTACATTAAATAACCAATTACAATAATATACAACTGGTCACTCAATTAACTTTTCAGCCCGGTCCAAGGTGTACGCAAGCTGAAGACTGTTCCTCTTACCAGTAAAGAAACAGATGTACACAATTTTATACCGAGTCCAAAGCAGCTAATACATCACATGAATAAAAATTAAAAATGCTGCATTGCATCACCTAAATGTAGTTTTAGTAGAGGATAAAAGCTTGTGAATTTTAGCAGGATAAAGGTTATTGCAAAGGAGTCATATCCTGTGGCAATTTCTGCATAAACTTACAAGCTTTACAGGAGGTTTTTAATGTATGGTTTCAACTCCATACCCTTCTCTGCACCCTATGTATAAAACCAGTAGGACGTAGGTATGCATTATGTTCTTAGTTTCAGTTGTACATTGTTTTTTGCTTTCATTTCAGCAAAACATTTTACTGCTAAGATACAGCTTCCCATTGAGGTATGGTCCTGCTTGCGTGTAAACTGCAGTAGTAGCAGCATCAGTAAACCTGCAAGGTCTTTTTCTGACACGTCATTTTTTTTAGTTTCCTTACCTACTCCAGAAATACTATTCTCTGCAAAGAACACTTATGACACCTAGATGGAATTTAGTCACAGTCCTGAAATATTTTTAAATAACTGTAGGAATTTAAAGGAGATTCACAGCATCCTTGGAATTTCTTGGTCAGTCATTTTTCCTAATGAAATAAGTGAATTTTCACAACAGAGTAAGTAGTTACAATTCTCAATGATTGAGAGTCCTGGGAAGTCTTATTTACAAAAGCTTTGTTAAAAATGCCCCCCTTTCTGGGGTCCCTCAGGTGAGGTATATACCCTTTGTTCTCAGTTTGAACTCAGCGAGACTGTTTAAAAGTTACATCTCTTTCCACTACGAAATTCCCCACATGATGGAGACCGCTACTTCCAGCCATGCGCTTTTCCTAATTTACAGCTGTCCGCAGCCTTTGGGACACGTGCAATACATTCCAGCAGGTGCTTTTGATGCTTGTTACACTGGGCATGGGAAGACACATAAAAAAAAAAAATAAATATGGAAAAAAAAAAAGAAAAAAAAAAAAAAAAGAGAGAGACAGACACCAGGTAAATTCCTGGCTGGTATGTAGTGCATCTCTGCAGGGTCTCAAGCAAACTCCCCTAAAGCCGTCTTTCTACTCAGCAAGAGCACAAGGTGAGAAGAGCCAAAAGTATCTCACAGGTCCAGACGGCCGAGCAAGGAAGCCCTATACCTGTCCAGCAACGGCGATTTGCCATCTCATTAGAGTCACCGTCACTTAACGAGCAGCGTGGACACCCACAGGACAGGTGCCCTCAATGGGACACGAAGTACTTAGAACCTAGCAGTATTGAAGTCTGCTTTTTTGTTATAAACCAAAAGAAAAACCATACTCATCACGAATATTTTAGGCCCACGCAAATATTTTTAAAGTCTTCCTAGCTTCAACGCTGAGGCTAAAATTAATGAACTGCTTTATTTTCACATTTCGCAGAAGAAATAAACGTCCACAATGAATCTGATGTCTAAAGAAGGAAGAACTATATATATCGACATCAATTTTAAATATAAAAACACCAAACTGTAAAAATCAAACCCACAGTTAGACTGTAATCCAGTCTTGTGACTGGATTAGAAAAAAAAATTAAAATTACTATTTTCAAACCATTTCAAAATTTTCATTTATGCAATTTATCCAAAAGTAGATTTAAAACCTTAGCAGAATAAAATACTAAGTTCAGATTTCTTCCGAATTAACCAAAAGCAGATTTTCTTAAATCTGCTGCACAATGTACCAGGTGATATACAAAGTACTTCAGCAATTTATTAATTTTCACTAAAAATCACACACAAAAATATTTGAACATTGTACACCCTGTGCTGAGTGCAAACTATTTAAGAACCAGTTGATGAAGCACAGATACATATTTAAGTATTAGCAATGTCTAATACACGGCGTGACACTTCCCTGCAGGCTTGGCAATTCCCACATTCGGATTTTTCAGCCATTTTCCAACATGAGTTTTACCTCTATTTGCCAGAAGGTTTGAATTTATGACCTGGATATCCGAAGGCATTAATCTCATAAATGCGGTTCTGATTTCTCTTTGTTGCTTATATTTCCATTCGACTAGTTACACCAAAATCCACCAAATGGTAACAGTTTTTCACAGACAGCAGCAGGGGAAACCCATCAATAGGGGGAGAGATGGTAAATGTAACATAAAATACAGCACACACCTTCTCATCCTTTCATCAGAATAAAGTACAGGGAACCCACCTGACAACTTTTCACAGAATTCACAGAATTGTTAGGGTTGGAAGGGACCCCTGGAGATCATCTAGTCCAACCCTCCTGCCAGAGCAGGGTCACCTACAGCACGTTACACAGGACAGCGTCCAGGCGGGTTTTGAATGTCTCCAGAGTGGGAGACTCCCCCACCTCTCTGGGCAGCCTGTTCCAGTGCTATGAACTGACTATAGGCTATTTTGACTCCTATGAAACTGCTCTCTATAATCAATGGAAAGAGTTAGTTTAAATAATATTCCTTTTTTTTTTTTTAAAGGAGAATTTGCATATGAAGTATCTCCCAAAACTGCCATGTCACAAATGCTAACAGCAGGAACTCCTTCCCCTACACAAAACTGCTGTTCAGAATTGCTATACGCTACCACAGTAGGGCACTAAGTGAGCGTCAAGACCTTGATTATTAGTACTACAAGTAAATGATACACATGAGAGGATAATCTCCAAATTAAAGCCATTTTAATATTTGTTCCATCAACAAAGTTGACCAATGTGTGTCTTTTCACATTCTCATGTAACCCCGATTAAAGTATTCTTTTGAGAAATATTTTGAAAATAAAATTTACATCTGAAAAATCTAAACACTCTCACTGAAGAGTAAAAGATCCCCCATTGTTCGTGAAACAATATTCACATATTTATAGTAAAACAGAAACTGAGACTCCTTCCCAAAGTAAGAATTGGGTGTAACAAACCAAGTAACATAAATAACTCTGGCTGACAAACACTTCAAATATCTGTTTTTAAAGAAAAAAAACCCACAACACAAACACGCTAAACCAAAGAACAGAGAATTAAAGGGAGATTTTTAATGGCACAAAGGGCAGCTAGGCACTGTGTGAGCTGAGAACATAACTGTCATCATGACTTTAAAAATCCCCCCCCGTAAGATTTGGGTTGCAGCTAGGGCAGAACAGGGGTCTTGCCAGACTTTCACAAACAATGAAAGAGCAAACCCAGTGTAGTGTCCAAACCTAATGAGAAAAGACAAAAGCTGTTACAGTCCCTCTGCTAAAAGGACACTGTCAAATTTACAAAGAGTTAAGTGAAATTAACGCTGAGAGTTCTTATTAGCTCTACACAATTCAAGTACGGGGTGAAATGCTCAAGAGCTATTTAAACAAGGAGTTTCTGTATTTGAGAGATTATTCTTAGGTTTAACTTCTGCTGTGTTAAAAGCATCTTTCGTATTAAACAAGCTCGTTAATTATTAACACCTGCAAGAGTACCTGCCTTTATGCAGAGCTGTGCCACGACCATCTTTTCATTTTCAGATAAAAATAAAAGTAACCATTAGGCACATATTGAATGTGTTACACATGCTGGAATGTCAAACATTTTCTCCCCCAGTTTTACACAGAAAAACAGCACAGCAGCAAATAACCTGGTCTTCTGTTCAACGATGAAAGCATTTTCAATGTACATAGTGTCACAACATCAATACCTTCTTATCTTTAAATAATTAGGTAAAAAAAGGCCCCCAGTATAACCATTTCTTATATAGCCAAGTTCTCTCTATATACATCCAAATTTTAAAGATACAAATAAAACATTATACAGGATTTATAAATGTTTAAAAACTTGAGGCTTCAGAATGATGGTTTCCCAAAAAGACTCGGGAAAATCCACAGACTGACAAGGTAGCAGGGAAAAGTGGAAAAAAAGGAGACAGACACAAGTTTGCTGCCGTAACGTTTTACTAGACTTGCCAGTCATCATGGCGATGTTATCAGAAATAACAGTTGAAGCTGCAAATGATGAATGGTGGTTTTGTGTGTTGATCTCAAGTGTTGAGACAGGCAATTCAAGTATTTCCTATTTGATCCAAGCTCATTGTAGCAAAGTGGTGCAGAAAAAAAAATAATTATTTTACATTTTTTCCATACATTCGCTCGATGTCCATTTGATAGTATGCCGTAAGCTCTTTGCGTTTTAGTTTGAATGCATCTGTCACTAGACCAGTCTCAGGGGTCCAAGGATCAGGGCTCAAACGAATTTTTACCGGTATTTCAAACTTCTCCAGATTAGCTGCAAAAATAAACATGTTTAATACAAAATGTAAGTGCAACCCTTTTTCTACAATTAAGCACAAAAGGAGGAACTGTATTCTCCCACAGAAAAGCTCATGACAAAGCCCCATGTGTCGCTCTGAAAACCCGTGTCGTCACTTAGTAGAGTGACAGGATCCACCAGTAACTGTTCTCCAGGGCCCGCCAAAATATTGACATAAACCCCAGCTGTTTGGGTATCCGTGCTGCTCCCTAACTTCAGAAAAGCCTTAGTGCATGCAAGCCACATCCTCAAAATATACACTGTTGTAGCAGTCTTATGATACTCATCTTCTGGAGATAAAGGCTCAAAATCCATACTACTTAAGCTTGAACAGGGCGGGGGGGATTGTGTTTTTTTCTGATAGTCTTAAGTTGTTCAAGGAAAGGAAGTTCATATGGTAGCTGTTCCCCTTGCTGAAACAGAAGTCAGCACAAAACACTATCATTTGCAAGAGCTTCTGCTATGATTTCAGACAGGAGTTATTTGGTTTACCTCTCTTAAGAAAAGTCATCAACAGATGGGCAATACTAAAAAAAAATTATCTATTTTCAAGTTAAATAAAAAAAAAATTCCACAAATGCATAATTATACTGTGCAATCTGCCATTTTTAGGTTTTCCTGCACCTTTTACTCCCCTCGATGTAAATCATTGGGTTTGGGGTTGTTTGGGTTTTTTTGCAATTTAGCACTAAAAATAAAGTAAAGCCTATGATACCAAAGTGAAAAACAAAACCCAGTATAAAATAACATCAAAATGTGTAAAAATGCCTTAGGATTAAATCAAATATTCCGCTTCATCAATCGTGTGCTGCACAAAAAAGAAAAGGAAAAAGGACTTCGTACACGCTTTCCATCGCAGCAGCTTCTTAGAATGACTCTGCCCATATGCTCCACATAGTGAAAAAAAAGGAACTGGAGACATGGGGCAGAGAAAAAAAAAGTCTGCTGCAGTACTGAGGCTGCAGTCGTCATAAAAGTGTGCTCCTGTAACAGAAGTCTGCAAATACACTAATCACAGACTTTAATATATTCACAAGTAATACGGACAAGAGATGAAGATTAACAAGACAAAGATTGTTGCGAGCCTAAAGTTATCCAGGGTAGAAAAGATGAGGACAAATTGCAAAAAGGTGCAGAAGGGCATCATGATACTGAGCAACTGCAAAACAGACAGCAGAAAACATTCATTGCAGAAAAGTGTAAAAGAAAATGCATATGAAAAACCAGTGTAACATCCACAATGACCATTTTAAAAAAAAACATTCTGTGGTCGTAACTGACAGCTTTATGAAAAAATCTCAGTGCTTATTAATGGTCAAAAGCAAAAACAAGGCAGAAATTATTATGAGAGAACAAACAGAATATCACTGCGCCACTGTTTAATTCTGCACCAGAATAGCTAAATGGACTATGACCAATTAGCATGAAAGATACACAGCTGAGAGGGAAGTATAATAGACACTGAAAAAAATCACGACTGCCATTGTGACTGTTCACTGCCTCTTCCCATACACGAGCTTGGCAGAACCACACTGAACTAGCAGGTGGCAGGGTTAAAACAAAACAGGAGGCATTTCTTCACATGAACATAGCTGAGCTGGGCAACCCCACCAAAACATCGTATGGATATTGATACAGAATATTTACATAACTTTAAAATGCGACTAGAAGAGTTCATGGAAGAAAAGTCTACTGAAAATTATTAACTACAAAGACCCTGCTTTCAGTTTAGGAAATCCGTTATATGGAAGGCACTGGAAGCTAGGAGAGCCCCTGTCACCATGGGCTTATTTCAACTATGCATACGTACGCAGCAGGTGAGACTGTATGACACCCAACACCCTTATCATGGATCTACAGATGACCCACATTCTTTTGGACCAGCAGCTAAGGCCAAAAAGATACTACAGGACATCTTAAGAACACCAGACACATACACTCACACATATATAAGAACTGACTGAGCTTGTTAAGTTTTCCCTGGTTTTATATTCTTTCCTCAGCTATTGGCCATGGTCAAAAAAAATAAGTTACAGGAACCAAAAGGAATGACTCAACTCATGTTTTGTTGGGTTTTACGTTTGAAAATTTCACTTCATGTATGTTCTATGAAATATAGATACTCAAAGAAATGTTTTTAGTGCCTATGCTTATCTGTTTCACAGACATTACAGTCCGCAAGGTTAGTACCGTCCACCCAGCTACTCACCTGCCACGGCAGCCTCAGCTAGCACCTTCAGTACCTCTTTTTCCATCTCAGGACTGTTACAGATCTCTTCCCAGGTTCCTTTAAATCCTTTCTTTCGAGCTAGTTCTGCGAGCTCCTTTTGATTTGGCACAACAAATCCAATGACATAAGAATGGAAACTGAGAAGTATAATGTACTTTAGTATGAATTTTGTAAAGTTAACAAGTCTTCAAAAGTAACATTTCAAGTTGGGGGGTTTGCACTTCACACAGAGATATTGCTCTTAACAGTTGGCTTTTGTTCACCTGATAATCTTTCTGAAATGGTACACAAATTACCTTTGCCTGCTTAAAAATAAGTAGAAAGGGAAGCTACTTACCTTACAGCAACTGGACTGCTTCAAGGTGTGCTGTCCATATGCATATTCCACTGTGCCTCACGCTCAAAGCTTTGGGGAAGCAGTACCCATACGATGTCACTGCGCCCTGCCTCTCCTCATGTTTTGCATCCCGATATGAAGACTGGTGTGCGGCTTCCCTACCTCAGTTTCCTCTCAACTGCAGAATCCAGTTACTGTAGAGGAGTAGAGGACTGCAGTGAAGAGGGGTTGGGGAGCAGTTGTGGAATGAGCATATGCACAACACATCTCAAAGAACGCCTGCTTCTGTAAGGGAAGTGACTTCTCTTTCAAGCGATTGTCCATACACTCACTCTATTGTTGGCACTCTTTGTCTGCTCCTGACATGCCTAGAATGTATGAAGCTGTGATCTCAAAGTCTTTGGAAAACACTGAAGCACAATTCACCCTGAAAGAGGTATTCAAGATTTTTGAGATGATGTAAAGTTTAGAGAAAACATGAACAGAACTTCACATAGCAGCACCACACATTCTAACAGAGCAGACACCAGAATCAGAGCTGAAAGGGATCTCAGAAGATCATCCAATTCATTCACCTGCATTGAAGCAAGGTCAGCTACATCTAACAGGGTTTGTCTAACCCGTTCTTAAACATCAGGCAGATACCAATGCTCCATTACTTTCAGCACTGGCAAGCTGCTCCTGACGGCTATTCCTGACTCATCCTCTCTGCAGTTTACATCACTTGTATTTTCATACAGCAAACAGTCAGACGTTCCTCTCCTTTCCACAGAAGCCATGTATTTGTGCACAGACTGTTACTATTTTTTTTCCTTCTCATCTTTTTAGTCTTCCTTCCTTTCTCAAGTTTCTTTAGGAATTTAAGCAATGCCCTTTTCTTCTAAGTCATGCATCAGAGATCTCTGCCCATTTTTTTCCTGGACTCTTTTCAATAGGTCCACCTTTTCTGAAGCGATCCACGTGGAACTCAGACCCTTTAATGCTTGGTAGAGCAAAATGATCACTGCGCACCTTGTAGGCTATACATCTGATTATGCCACATTATTTACCTTCTTATAACAGCACGGTACTTGTTCACTCATGTCAGCTCCTACAGAACTGCTACCAGCTGTATTTTTGCAGTTTATTTAGGTGTAAGTTTAATTCATATTTCCTCTCTTCAAACTGACCTCTGTTTTCAAGCAAATCCCCACCTAATCAAGCTTGCTCTGAATTCTAATCCTGTCCTCCACTGTCCCTTTGGTCCTGTCTCACCTTAACCATATACAGATTTCTTAAATCTTTTCAACTCTCTCTTTCACCAGAGAGATCATTAATGCAGAATACAGAACCTTAACCTCAGTATGAAGATTACTTTGGTTTATCCTTTAAGGTCTCCGAGATAATTTTAAAATACCAAGTCTAAACACCCTTTTGGTTACTGTACATGGCAATTTTCTCCTTTGTTACTGGTATGAATTATAATGGGCATCTGACAGCAGCTGTGAAGACTGCATAGAAGTCCACTACAAACACAGGCTGCCCTGGCATCATCTGTTGACAAGCTCTGCCTGTTGGCTGACTTGAAACCGTTCCCATTTTTCTCTTACTGAGAATGTACTTACAGAAAGACTTCAGACTAGCCTCAGTATCACTTACTGCTTGCATCTCACCTTCTGTCTTTGCCTTTGATTCTCCCCCCTCACACACACTTGTGCTATACCCCGTACTGAACCCTTGTAAATTCATCTAGGGTCTACTCTGTAATGTAAATGTATTATGTATGAAGGCATCCAGAACACAAAGGATTCTGGCACTTTCATCCCTGGTTCCTGCAGGCTTTTGACACGCTTAAGGTCATGTCCAGCAATATTACCTGCGTCGCCGGGGATAAACAGCATATAGAAGTAATCAGCTGGCTGGGTAAGCCTCAAACTTTTGGTTCATCTAAAATTCAGCCCCTTGAGTAGAAGCATACTTCCTCTGGACAAATGGGTTCATCCAACTATGCTTTTTCCTGGAAAGAGCACCTCGGAGCTGACAGCTCCTGGAACATGTCATTTTTCATTCTGTACCACTAAGTTAAATCTTCACTTGCTGCAGTTCAAATGCTAAAGCACTGTTCGTCTTGAGAAGTATCCTGAAGACTACATCTTCTCTCTGGAGCAGCTACTTCCCTCTACGCTACTTTTCCTTCTGCAGATCATTTGAATTTGCTGGCTTCTTCAGTCTTGGAGGTCATAACAGCATGAAGGAAGAAATTTTCAGAATTTGGTCCTCAGGACCCTCCTTCACCACCTCCTCCCTGCTAAGAAATTTTGCCAAAACATCTCTCCTACACTAGGAATTTCCATTCCCTTGCTGTGCTTGAGATCCTACCTGAATACAGCTCTCAGACCTATGGTAAGAGACATCTACAGTGGCACTACACGTCAATATCACCATTTCTATTCTGTGAAGTCTGGTCCTTATCAGCTCTCCTTGAGCGTCCTGCTGAGAACTCCCTTGGGTTTTTTTGCCACGTTTTTTCATTCCTCAGGTAACTGAACTACTCATTCTCCTGATGTGATACTCTTATCTACTGAATACGTTTTGAATGAGTGAAGTCCTGATAAAGCAGTAGGAGCCCCCTCTGAAAGAGCTCTAATCATGATTGCTTTCAAACATTTTATTCCTTATCTCACTGAGTATTTTGTCTGCAGCGGTCAGTGACTATAGCTTTTGAAGCAGTGATATCGTGCAAACCGTTTTGATTCCCTGCTACCATATTCAGAGGAGATGTGCAACCCAAGATCTAAGGTCAAATCACAGATTTAACTTACTTGTAAAAGTCTGCCCTCCTCGTACTTTTGCACGTGGGAGGTTAAACAGCTACAAATTAAGGACGACTTTTACATACGAGATCACCCAGGCAAAGTATAAGGATAGACAAGGATGCAAGACAGGTCATGGGCACTGCTTAACAAAAAGTCTCTGAGCTCACACTGCTGAGGTGAGTATACATCCACAATGAAATGTGCATATGGACAATCATCCAGAGAATCTGTATTACATAGCTATTTATGCCAAGTTACACGCATGAAAGTATTAGGAAGAAATACAGCAGCAGCAGAAAAACAATCTGCAATGTACTTGGACTCTTAAGTTACCTTTAAAAATTACTCATAGTTTTTCCTACGTTTAAGTAATAGACAGGACACAGACTATCAGAGTCAAATGCCTGACAAGTGCATTTTAGTCTCCAGTGTTATGCTGACCTGGCAAAATTAACACCAGTTTGATAATGCAATTCCAAGAGTGAACTTCAACCCTAGAACAGCAGAAATAACCATCTGTAGGAGCCTCTTTCTCCATAGACTACAGAGGGTGCTCAGAACGGCAAGTAATCTCAGGCAGCCAAAGCAAGCAAACATGAGACTTGCCCAACACATCAAAACCACAAATAAAGCCTAATATAACGGAAGTTTTCTCAGCAGTGGCATGCCCGATGCGTGTTAGCCTACTGATCCAAAACTGTCACCACTGAAGTTACAGGATGACTGCCATTAGTTAACACACACAAAAAATACCATAGAGAACCAGGTGAACAAACCAAAAGTTAATTTTCTGTTTAATTACCACTGAGCAATTCTCTGGTATGCTTGTCCTGGCCTCCTTCCATCAAAGTTATCAAGTAGGGCATTTTTGGCCATACAGGAAATCAGAATATTTCTAATCATTCAGAAGCTCTAAAGTGACCTTCCAAATATCAAAATGACAAGAAACAACGACCACCTGAAGTATATTTATACATTTAAGTCTATATCATATACAGGTAGGAAATTCTAGAAATAGAAATTTAAACCCTTATATGCCTAATTTGGCAGCGCACTTAGAAAGCAAATAGAAAGAACATCTGATCATTGTTTATTAATTGAGTGTTTGCATAGTATTTACAGAGTGTATTCTTTCAAGCTTCAAAGCTTCTGCTAGTGTACTGCAGGGGTTAAAGAAAAGCATCTTTAATGCGCAAAACAGCTTCTGGGCTGTTGATGGTTCCCCCCCCGCCTTCCTCCAAAGTACAACAGTACTTCCTCTGAAGAACACATCACAGATAAAAACAGCAAGGAACAAGGTGTCTCAGGGCTTCTATATAGGTAATAATCTCTAAAGTGCTTGAGTGATGCAGTCAGAGCTTAGCTGCTTTTCAGATTGACGGAAAGGGAATGAAAAAAAGAGATTCATTCTTAGCGTTTTCCAACAAATGATGAAAAACAGGGGAATGGAAAAATAAAAACATACGTTTCAGATGTTTTGGTTCTGATAGAGCAAGTTATTCCACTGTATTATAAGTAAAACCCTTTTTGAACTGGTTTAAAAAAATTCACACATTGAGTGGCAAAAATTTTGCTTACGGCTTCAATAGGACAGACAAAGAATACAACAATAACAAAATATCAGCTGCCTCTTACCTGCTTGCATATGCACAAATATTATCTACCAGTGGAAGATTCTTTAGAGCTGCTTCTACTTTGCCAAGAGAAACATATTCTCCTGCCTGGAGTTTTACAAGATCTTTTTTACGATCTATTGAGGGAAAAAAGGAATTAAACATTAATTACGGAACACAAAACTTTAGACCCTGATTTTATACTTTTCTGAAAAGTATGTACAAATGCCAAAAGGTATAAGCTGACTCACATTTGGTGAATGTACCAGAAACTTTTAATATCACGTTTTTGGACTTGGCATTTTTTCAATCTGCCCCTCACTTAAACATGAGGCACACATTTTGATCCCATGCATCTCCCGTCTTTAGAACATCTCCTATATGACTGGACGGGCATGTGAATTGAAGACAACCAAGATTATGCAAAAGCCAGTATTTGGCCAGAAGCACAACATTTTGTGCTGTCTGGTCCAGACGCTTAAGGCAGGAAACACAGCATTTGGTGACATTTTGTTATTTATTCCCAGGCAAAATCTATATTTAAAGAGCAACTGTCCATCTGTTATTTGAAACACAACAATAGGAACCGAAAATTAAGCCCAAATTACTTGAGCTTATTGTACACGGGCCAAAGAAAGCAAAGGTGACTACAGAGCCTTACCCAGCTAGCTGTGATGGTGGCCAGGAGTACCTCTCCTTGGTTATTACCTTCCTGCTGCTTTGTGTAGATTATAAAATCTAAGGCAGCTTATCTAGCTCAGTTAGCCTACATTTAACTCTCTAATTACTACCCAGTCTCACTAACAGAGTGGAGTCAATGTTAAGACTGTTGCAAAAGGAAGCAATCGTTTTAAAAATCAGCTTTTAAAACACACAATCAATTTTACGTTAACATATATGAATTTCCCTAAGATACATGGTAGGGCTTTAGACTGCATGCCAAGATAGAGAGATATTTTTTCTGGCTAATCAAAAATGTGTATATATATGTTCACCTGAATTTATTAACTCACCAATAATTTTTAGACATCCATCTTGATGAAACTCTCCAATGTCTCCAGTATGGAGCCACCTCTGCCCATTCTCGTCAACAGTGAAATCTTTCTTGGTTCGTACTTCATTTTTGTAGTAACCTACAGTCACATTTTGTCCTCCAATAAGAATCTCACCTCTAGGATATGGTTTATCAGTGTTGTAATATCCACCTAAAAGTACGGAGTTTAAGTTAACAAGAATTACAATACATTTCAAAGCAAGAACGCCTATTAATTTTACTATTAAAATATAGAACTGAACACTTTAGTAAGTCGTTAGGCAAAGTTCCCACTTGCCTAAGTAGTTCAGTACAAGAAGAGGTGGTTCCAGTTCTTTGCAGCATATAAACAGCTATTTAATGTGTGTTTACAAACAGCGAAATTCACACACACAGGGCAAATGCCACCTCTATGCAATCTTTCTGCCGCGACTAACATGCTCTACCAGTTTTATGCAGGCTCTAAAAAAAGATAAATTTTGCCTCATTTTAAGAAAGCAAGCTACAAGGTTTCACATTAGCCCAAAACACCCTTAAGTATCAGGTGTTTCTACTCTACAATACTCAAAAGCCTACAGTGAAAGGAAATCACCTAAATACATTTTAAACGTCACTAAATATATTTTACATAGGATTCATGAAGCTTCCATTCCATCTACCAATTTTTTAACGATTTTTATTAACAACAATATTATGAAGACTATTTAAAAGTAATTTCTTAATGACAACAGAAGGTATTGCGCATGTGCTGCAGTTGAAGTCTCCTGAATCCAGCAGCTCTATGACACAACATATAAGACCTGCACCCTGTCCTGCAAGAATACTGATCTAGCTCCGAGGTACAATACACATTTACACAATATGCACACCCAATTATAGTGACTGGAATAAAAGAAATAGTAAAGCCAAAGAGAATGATAATACAACCTAGTCAAAACACCACTCACATTGATAGCTTCTGTCTAGATATTTGTAAGTTTAAAAAACGGTAAGGAATTTATTTTAACTTTTTTCTCCCCAAGATCAAACTTTTATACGTAAAAGTAGTATTTAAAATTCAAAAAGCCAAGAAACAGTCTTCTAATTACTCCTACTGAGCAAAGCCCAGTAGAAAAATAGCTATATGAAGCTCTTACAAACACATCATAATTTAATCAAATACAGAAATTCTCACCTTCTTCCCAGTTCATTAACTTGATTTCACAACAGACCAAAGGCGCTCCCACTCTCCCTGTAGTGTAGTCCCAAACTAGAGTTTAAAAAAGAGCATTTTTCAGAAAAAAATTTAAAACAGAGTTAGAGAAATCTTCGCTGTCATGAATCTCATTTAGTAAAAATTAACTGCTATGTATTTCTGAACTTGAATTCATAGAACAGAATTTCCAAGAAAACCAATGGGTCTATCAAGGTAATGCAAATGAAATCCTTATCCTGCAAAGAGAAGAGATGGCTGTATTTATAGATACCTCCAGTCATATCAAAACAGCTTTGACAGTAAGCTGTCTATGTGGATCACACTTCAGCAGTGGCACAAATACTTTAAATAGTGTTTGCTGGACTCTGAAATAAGTAGCAATATTTCATAGCAATTCAGAGAATCTGTATTTTGATTCACTTTCCCGAAGTCTCAATCCCAAACGCTTCTACATCTGGGCACCTTCCCAAAAGAGCATCACTGGAGACTACATGTTCCACTTCCCCCCACTCCCAAGTTACTAAAGAAGCCATTTCCAAACATCTCTTGGAATAAGAACCACACCACAGCAGTCTGTGGATCACCAGGGCACATAATACAAGTTCTACAATCCGGCATAATCTAGCCCTGAACTGCAGATACTCCTCATACAATTCCTAGGTAGACCACACCATTGCCAAAAAATAGCAGCTCTGACTGTTTCTGCCACCATGGAATACATGTGAAATTTTAGGGCTAAAAGGCAACTGAAACCATTAAGTTCTGTTATATAAAATTAAAATCTGGGGCAGGCTTTTGCATTCCATTTTTTTTTATTTTCCTAATGTCTCAATATACTCAACAAAATCAGAAATAATGTATTCAGTTCAACTGGTAACTGCAATAATGCCAAGATCCCATTCACACTATTACAGGTTTCTCTATCACAGATGAGAACATTTATTTTCTGTGTAGGTCACCAACTTTAGCACAATGTGTCAAAATTAGTACTCCTACTGTTTTATACATTTATGATTACAAGCAATTCCCAGGACTCCCCAGTTACGTTTGGTGGCATACACCAAATTAATAGACTGTCAGAGAGGACCGACAGAGAGCACTCAGCACGGATCACAGCACGCAGTGGGATGCACCGACACCAACCTTCCGTGATCGTTCCAGCTCCAGCTGATTCAGTTAGTCCATACCCCTGTCCTACAGGGCAACAGAAACAAATGTTCATAAACCGCTGAGTTGCTGCAGACAGCGGAGCTCCTCCACAAAGCAGGATGCGGATTTTTCCACCTAGCAGCATTCGTACTTTCCGGAAAATAAGGCTAAAACGCAAAGATAAGAGTATATATTTGTTGCTTAAAAACAAAACAGGAGAGCACCTAATTTTGTATCTGAACTGGAAGTTTTCATCATCTTCAAATAAACTTTTACGGCATTCAAGGAAAACCTTGAAGGAGCACATTTAAATTTTCAAAAACACAAGCACAGATTTTTAAGATCTGAAGATGGGTAAAATGTTTTGAGAACGTAGATTTAGTGAGACAGTAGAGTTCTGTGATTTTCTCCTCAAAAATAATTTAAATAAGATGTATAAATTTTGCAATTATATTATCCTTCAGTCTCACTAAAGCTGGGAGTTGGACTCGACGATCCTTATGGGTTCCTTCCAACTTGAGGTATTCTACAACTGACTTCTGTGAAAATGCGAAGTCTGCAGTTATCTATAGGAAGACTTCCCACCTTACCCAAAAATTGTATAAATCCATAATTAGAGTCCCAATGAAAATAATGCAATGAATATTGCAAACTCCAACCAGTTTCAAGTTAAATAACACTCAAATTATATCACAGACATTTAAAACAATCACACAAACTACAGATTTGTTGATTCAATTTATGCTTAATTATAGACTTGTTTCATGTTCAAAGCATCAACATTAAAACAAAGAGAAGTACACACAAAAAAAAAATAGATATTGCTCATGTGGTAAGACTTTGATAAGCATTTTTTTGGTGCCGTTAAAAATAAAGTTAAAATTACCTATCACAGAGAGGGGTTGTGTAACCTTTGGAAATCTGTTCCATTTTGTAGTTGTAGGCCAATATAAATAGATTCCGCTGGAAACTTGTCATTTCATTCACTTTATTCATGACGTTTTTGTAGATCCGATCCATAATTTCCTAGTTACATAAAAAGATTAACTTTAACTCAAAGCAGAAATCCTAAGTTTAGTACCACAAAAAGGATCATAATCTAGAAATTGTAGTACATTTCAGATGGCAACCCACGCCCAGGTCGCTTCCTCTTCCATTGCTAAGAGATAGCAAGATGTTCACAGAAACATCTAACCAGGAGCACTAGTTAACCCCAAGCTCCCTGCTGCCAACTATCTTGATTCCATTAATTTACTATAATGAACAATAAATGACGAATTAAAATGGCAATCCAATCACCATAGCTATTTAAACTTTGAAAAATGTTGACACTCATATAATAAATGTTTATCCCCAACATACAAATAAATACCAAAAAATACTCTTTTAAGCTATCTTAACATCGAAGGTTCTCCCTTTTTTATTTAGATGATCATAGAATCATAGACTAGCTTGGGTGGGAAGGGACCTTTAAAGGCCATCTAGTCCAACCCCCCCTGTAATAAGCAGGGACATCTTCAACTACATCAGGTTGCTCAGAGCCCCGTCCAACCTGACCTTGAATGTTTCCAGGGATAGGGCATCAACCACCTCTCTGGGCAACCTGTTCCACTGTCTCACCACCCTCACTGTAAAAAATTTCTTCCTTGTATCTTTTAGTTGGAAACCACTACCCCTTGTCCTATCGCAACAGGCCCCGCTAAAAACTTTATCCCCATCTTTCCTGTAGGCCCCTTTAAGTACTGGAAGGCCACAACAAGGTCTCCCCAGAGCCCTCTCTTCTCCAGGCTGAACAACCCTGACTCTCTCAGCCTGTCCTGATAGCAGAGGTGCTCCAGCCCTCGGATCATCTGCGTGGCCCTCCTCTGGACCTGCTCCAACAGGTCCATGTCCTTCCTACATTAGGGACTCCAAAGCTGGACACAGTACTCTATGTGGGGTCTCATGAGAGCAGAGTAGATGGGCAGAATCACCTCCCTCGCCCTGCTGGCCACGCTTCTTTTGACACGGCCCAGGATGTGGGTGGCCTTCTGGGCTGCAAGAGCACACTGCCAGATCATGTCCAACTTTTCATCCACCAGTACCCCCAAGTCCTTCTCAGCGGGACTGCTCACAATCCCCTTCATCCCCCAGCCTGGGAATACCAGGGCTTGCCCCAACCCAGGTGCAGGACCTTACACTTGGCCTTGTTGAACCTCATCAGGTTCGCACAGGCCCCCTTCCAGTGTTTGTCCAGGTCCCTTCTGGATGGCACCCTGTCCCTTCACACACCATTCAGTTTGTCATTAATTTTGTTGTTAAAACATTGAATTATGAATTACATTTTTAAAATAGTTTTTGAAATTATTTATCCTTCAGTTACTTACCGGGACAGCTGCCATTAGGGTTGGCTTAAGTGTAGTGACATCACCTTTGCTTCCTTTCTTTATTTTAGAGGACTAAAGCAAAGAACAAGTTTACTAGCAGACACATTCAAGATTTTTAACACAAGAAACAACATGATATAGTACATCTTTCAAACAATCATTTTCATTTAAATTATATTTGGACAATTAAAAGTAGCCCAGAGTACCAGCCATAAACACCTGTTTCATGAATTGTAGAAAAGATTTGCTGTAATATTTTTAAAGAAATATTACAAAGGTCTGACGTGACTAGGTTTTGGTCTTTTTTCCATAAGGGTTTATATCAACAACATACCTGGTCAGCTAATGTCTGAGGCGAAGAGTAACCAATGCGGCATCCATGAGACAGACACACAAGTTCAGCACTCAGCTCCAGAACGTGGGCAAGAGGCAAATAGCCAATATAGATGTCTTTTTCCCTGTAAAGAGTTTTTAAAAGACAGGTTTATGTTATACCATTAGAGACCTCAAGCTAAATTTACACAGAGCTTACTGCAGAACTAGAGGAAGTGGAAAAATGCCTTTCAGCTTGAGAACATATTTCAAATATTGTGAGTCTCGTTTCAGAAGTTGCATACTACATACTGTAGGTTTATGGCATGAACAAAGTGTGATGTTTACTCATCCCAAGACAATTAACCGTGTGTTATGGTTGCAAAGGCAACTCCGTGGGCAAGACTAAAAACTGCACCAAACAAAGAAACCACAGAATTTTACACTAATCAACGGAAGTACTGCTTAGGGAAGCTTTCAGCCACTCTAGTGCAAAATGGCCTCACAGGCTTGTGTGTCCTGGTCTTGCCCACATACAGAAGATGAGAGAACAACCAGCACATGAAGTATCCATGTCATTTAATGTAGTACTGGAAGATGTTCAGTCACCAGTACTGTGTACAGTCATCAGACAGAGTATGTGTGCCACAGACGAAGCAATATAAAACAGTTAATACTTTACATACTAATTAATCTAAAATCATATGCAACTGACTTCTTCATTGGCTGGTAACTGTTGGTACATACCCCAGATTTGGAATCCTCTCAGCCATTCCAGTTATCCCAGCAATTATGTTGCTATGGGAGATCATAACTCCCTTGGGAACTCCTGTGGATCCACTGGTGTACATGATCACTGCGATATCGGAGGGCACAGGCCTAGCCTGCTGTTTGTTTCCTGTAATTTGTGTTAAAAAAGAGGATGCATAATGTATGGAAATCCTATCAGACTGGGAGATCTGATATACTAACGTATTTCAGCAATCATTCCAATATAACACTACCTGACTATTACTATTACATTTTGCTTTCGGTTTAAAAGATTGTGGTCAAGTTTAAGTGCCTCCGCAGAGAGTAGGAACTTCTTTGTATTAGCTGAGCAATGCTTTCAGTGATTGTCCTAGTCTTTTTCTATTATGTTTCCCATATCGCTGCAGAGGAGAGAAAAATGGGCAGAGCTTTGGCTTCTCCAAAATGCCACTGAGCTTCCCGTCCTTAGGAAGGTACGCTGCACTGGTTCCACACGGCCACCGGGTCAGTCCCCATTTGCAAAGCTACCTTCTCGTGTGTCCCTGGCAGGGCAACAACACGCTGCATCGTTTGCAACACCTGCAGCGAGGCACTGCTGAGCCCACATGAGGTCCAATTTCTATAAACATTTAAAGGAAGTTTGATAGCTTTAACAGTATTAAAGTGTTTTTAAAAATACTTGCACCAAGGGCAAGAAAATACGACAACTGTGTTTATTCAGAGGCAAAACTGCATAATTCGCAACACATGCGGCACAACAGACACGCTGAACAAGAAAAGTGAAAGCATATTTAATTTCCCACTCAGTAAATCCTGTCCATCCTGTGCGATGAACGCCACAGAGCAGCAGCTCATGTACTTAATATAATATCAATTGAACGTGCTTCACCATAAACAATTCATTGGAGTATTCCACAATTTACGAATGGTTAACTTGACAAAGATAATGTTCCTATATTATAGCGTATATAGTATGAGATATTTAAAAGAGTGAAGAAAGGAGGATTAGACACCTTTTTAAAAGGCTCATAGATTAACAAATCTCAAAGAGCTAATGAATTACAGACATAATTTTTCCTGTTGGTGTTGTCCGAAACAGTTTTAATAGTACATAAAACTGGTGCCACCAAAAAGGGAAAACCACCTTTTAAAGAAATTGAGAGGTCATGACATTGGGAGCAAACCTGCCATTCCCCTGAACATCAACAGCAGATGGATTAACTACCCACCCTACTCCTCAAACAAAATTCAATCCAACATTCATGTGCCTTCAGCTGTTAAAAGATTCTGAAAACACAAAAAATAAGAACAGAAAAAGCAACTACTGAATATAATGAAATCTTAAGATACTAGGTTTAGCAGCTCTTCAGAGCCACGGATAAAAGTTAATTATGATAATGGTTGAAACACCTTCTGAAATTTTGAATTCTAATTCTAAAAAGTATTACATAGATTGGAAATAGATTTAAAAAAAATTTACATAGTAGACGGATACTTTCAGAAATGCAATAAAAGTGACCGTGTTCTATCAGATTTAAATGGTTATTTTACATTTTATTATTTGTGAATTTAACAAAACTTAATGGCAGCAAATTACTGATGTCTTTTGCTATAAAACACACAATACTTTTCTCTGTGTGCTCTGAATAACATGGTTTTAAATATGTCCGATCATAAAAATGCTTTCTAAGTTTCTATCCTGGCCTAAATGCTTATCCTAAAAATTATTCTTCAACACGTGACATGTTGCGGAGAAGACAGTTTTCAATAAAAAAGGCATTTTACTCTACTCTGTTGAAAAACAAACCCCCCCAGATTATATTTAAAGAAAAAGCAGATGATAAAAGATTAATCACTGCATAATTTTTTTGAGATCTGCAATTTCCCCAAGTTTACTTAACAGGGTCAAAGTAGGACAACAAATAAGATGATCCGAATAGAAAGAAGAGATAACCTACCAATATCTGCCTTGGCTCCCATAGCTTGCACAGAAGCCATAGTGTGAACAATGACACCCTTGGGAAACTCTGACCACGTTGTTGGTTTGCCATCCACTGTAATAATATGTCGCAGCAGTGGAACTTGAGAAACAATTTCCTGTGGAAATGAACATGTGTTCAAATATCAAACATGAGGTTTGTGCCAACAAGACCAAAAAAACACTTAAAAAAAAAAATCTATCTACTGTATACATTAAAAAAAAGCAGCATTGACATAAAATATCTGAGGATTTAAAATATCAGAGGATAAACCTGTCTAGCTCAAACAGCTGCAAAAGCTTGAAACTTTCCATATTTAGATTTGCAGGACTGATTGAACTTTCCATTTACAAGTCCAAAAACTTTTCCAATCATTTACTGATCTGGGTCTTATTTCAAGAAAAGCCCACAAATAAGACTGCAATGATTTGTAGAGATAATTGACTTTCCACTCTCATAGAACACTGAGAGAAACTGGCAACACTGAGCTTGGAATAATTCTTATGTTGCTCCTTGATTGCTATGCTATTTAAAGTAAGCAACAGGTAGCAAAAGTACTGAAAATTATTAGTTAAGCAATAGTTAAGCATTTCAAGGAAAATGTGAGTTCGAAAATATTTATTGATGTTCTAGTGGAAGAAGAGATTACTACCATCTCTAGCAGAAGAAATTCAATCACCTACTGCAAGCTGAAATAAGTGTGCACTGTATATATACCGTCATTCTAGTAACTAAAAAAAAAAAGAGAGGTTTGAGAAATTCTCATTCAAAATTCAGCAACAGCGCACAGTTTTTAATTAAAACAATTCCGTCATGTGAAAGGTCTAGTTCCCCAAAACACATCATGATGAAACTCATGCAGATTCGTTGTTCCACTTGTGTATTCAATCTGGGTCAGTAAGTCAAAAAAGTTTTTTGACTGTTCCGATGTTTAATAAGCTTCCCCCTGCACTGGAAAACAGCTCTAACTCTTCGAGCACATGTCTTTAGATTAAGAGCCATTCTCTACTGGGAAAGCATCCAACAATAAATCAGGAGGATGATCACATTTAGCTATTCGTATACAGTTTATACATTTTTCTGTTCTTCCCATTTGCTTCAGTTGTTAAATTTACAGGCACTATATCCACCCAGAAACCATAGCAGTTTCTTGTAAAGGTGTGGCTCCAGGCAGCACCGCGGCTCTTCAATAGTGCAAATCACTCATCCCGTTCTCCAAAAGTCACTGACTGAGGAGCCTAAATCCCACTGAAAGCTACCTATCGTTTTTTTTTTTTCTACACATGAAGACAGATACATAAATCTTATTCTAAAAGAAATGTCTGCCTTATAGGAAGGCAATAAATCATTGTTCCATACAATGGAGCCAGGTCTTTTAACAATAGTGAACAGATACACTGGGAAGAGATAGACAAAGAACAGTTTTCTGACCTTCAATTTTGTCTGCATCAGCTCTTTACTAGTAATGATGGTGGTCACCTCGGTTTCATTGAGCCCGTGTACTATCGCTGGGCCTCCCAGAGTAGCGTACAGAGTAACAACTGAAACAGAACAGGGAGGGAACGTGAATCTCTGCGTTACACTTTCAAGTACAGTTCACAGTAAAAGGCCGAGATTAACTTATCCTAAGTTAGGCAGAACAGTAATAATATTTCTTTACTAATATAAAGGTGGCAGAGTTTTGTGCTTTAAAAAAAAAATACATATTACACAGATTTAAATGCAGCATAAATTTTAGTTACTCCCAGAAGGAATAAAGAACAACCATTGCCTATGTGACTGTTTACTATTTTTCAAGGTCTAACTAGAGTTACCAAAACCACATCACCCTATGTAATTCCCTTCTAGATCTACGTGTGTACTTTTGTGGCTTTTACCATTTTAGAAGTAGGCATCTGTTCTCAGTTTAACACACTGTTTAACAGTCCTCTTGTACACAGGAAAGAAACAGCTTTCATTTACATGACTTCTCTTTTCAGAAATCACACTCCGTTACTAGCCTTTTTAAACTGACTGCTAATAAGAAATTATTATAACATTGTAATACATGTTATCAGCAGATTAATTCTCACACAGTAATAAATCTGTGACTATTGTATTCTCCCATCTATTTAGAACAACACACTGAAGGTTTAATCATCACCATCATTAGACACCGAACTGACATCCCGAGTATACAGAATAGCAAGGAAAGAAAATATTTAGGAAATTGACTATCAGAAACACTGTTTCCTGTATTTATGGACAGCTCATTAGCAATAGTGTTAAACCACAATTATTTCCCTTTAACAACTTTAAAATCGTATCTAATTTCCTGCCATTTTTATGGGAACTGCATCAGAAAAGACAGGAAGAAAAAGGCAGCTCAAAAGGGAAGAGAGGTATTGCTCTCAAAAAAATAATAATTTCCTATTTCCAAGCAGAATGCTAAAGAGGGGCATCTCAAAAAAGCTGTAAGGTCAAGCAACACAATCATTAACAATTACATCGTTAGCACTGGAAGTTCTGTCACATTAGGTATTTGAATTTCTTTTGTATTTTTGTCTGGATTTAGCTCAATATTTAAACAACGTAATTATTAAAACAAGACACCCGATTGTATGCTAGGGCTGTAACTATATTATGTTCACCGCAGCAAAAATAAAAATAAAGTCAAACTCTGTTGTATTGTGGGATTTGAAATCCAGGGAGTTACTAATCCCATGCAGCACACTAAGGAAGAACTCAAAAGCAGTTTTCTTACACAGAAAAGTAAATAGTTGACCTCTACTTATTTTTTCCTTGTTAAAACAGTCCATCATAGTTCAGAACTGTTGCAGGGCAAACGCACATGCACTGTGTTTTCTTTAATTTGGTGGGAGCAAAGTCCAGAAGAGTGCCTCTACTAGTTCCCACGAGCTCTCTCTCCTTACTGCAGTGACCCCTCTTACATAAACATCTAGGAGAAATTCAGTTTCCCCAAGCCAACGAGCACAACCGAGACGGCACACCGCCCGGAAAGAGAAGTATATTCTCCGAAATAACCATTTATGTAGTTAATTACTCATCTACAAGTAAGTAGATCGAGGACAGCTTAGAGCTATACGACAGAGCCAAAGAGGAGTCATACACCATTTATACAATGGTGTACTGATGTCATGGAGAGGGAAAAAAAAAAAACAAACCAACCCCCAAGCAATGACTCTGATCCGTGAAATTCTCACTTCTTCACACTGGCACCTAAAACCTTTTCAGGCAAATCTGAAAGTTTAGGTAATTTTTTTTCTCTCCTTTTTCTCTTGAAGACATACCAAGACGGAATTATCTTTTGTGTTCATCTTTACATATGCAATAGCACAAGTGAGTTTATGACATCTGGACCTCTGCTAGGAATACTGCTCTGAAAGTCTGACAAAAAGAAAAATCTCAACACCACTATATTTGCAAGCTAATATTCAAGAACATAGCCTTGTCCAAAAGAAACAAATAAAACTTTAGCCATTTATTTCAATGTAACTAAAATGTTAAACTGAGTATTTCAGCATCCACCATGCATTAAAAAAAAGGCAAAAGGCTTCAGCCAAATCAATTCTGACAAAACCACTTCTGCTCAAGCTTCAGGAAGGCGTAATTAAAAAAATGGAACATAACCTTTCTTACTTGTTTCATTGTTTGGTTATACACTCAGGTGTTTTATCTGCCCACAATGGCGAAGAGCTCTTCACACAGAAGAGGAGATACTTTGGAAGAAAATCTGGGTATGTGTTAGTACTTTTTTTCCCCATTTTTGAACTAGCAATCCCACTCCACCTCCTGCAAATACAAGACTTAGCTTCAAGCAATGTAAAATTTACAATCAAGTGAGTATTTCTAATCCTAAAACCACTTGTTGGTGTGAGTAGTCCATAACACAAAAACTGCTTTCCCCATTTTAATTGCAGAGCACAAAAGGCATTCTCTCCAACACTACGTACGAAGCAGATGAATCTGCTGTCTTGGCATCAGTTCCGGCCACATACCATCAGATTTAATACAGTTCACATTCAGAAAGAAAGTCACAACACTACCGCAGCAGGTAGCTGTTGTGAAACCTGTAAACTGAAAAATGCTAATATAAGTCATTTAACAATGTCTTCCAGACTATTTCTTCTGCATCATTTGAATTTTATAATTCATTCAGCAAACTGACTACGTGAATACTGCATGGTAATATCATCATCTGCCAACACACAAGTCAGCCAAGTTCACATAACATGACATACAGCTTAGATGCTAAATACCACGTCAGACAGTGTGCCGAAGCACGTCTCAATAAGGGAATTTAAAACATTAATCCAACAAAACGAAAAACACATGCATACCATTCTACACACGACATCCATCCACTATCTCAGATACTTGTTTTTTTCCCCCCCTCAAATTACGAAATCTTCCGAGGACTTGCAAGTGCACTGCACTTCCAAAGAAAAAATAATTGATACAAGCCTTTGCATTTAGTCACTAGTAATCTAACAGATCCCAAAAGTGATAAAAGGGAACTGACATGGTGTATTATGAGACATGTAGTTTAAAAGCAACACAGACATCTCATCTGAGAGCAGCCTGTGCAGATTTCTGCTCTGGCAGGCAAGTTAGCAGCAGTCACTCACTGAAGAAAGGACCAAAAATACCACCAAATTTAGGTTGGAAGGCACCTGGGAAGATCACCTGCACAAAACAGTTCGTTAGAGCAGAGCGCTCAGGGCCACGGCCAGTCCCATTTTAAGTATCTCCAAGGATGGAGATTTCACAGCCATTCCAGGCTCCTGTTCTGGTATTTAACCACCCTCGCAATGAGGACATTTGTCCTAATATCTAATCAAATTTTCCTGTGTTTCAGCTTGTGCCTGTTGCATTCAGTCTTATCAAAACACACCTTTGAGCGGAGTCTGGCTTCATCCTCTCTGTACACTCCCATTAGACCATTTTAGACAGCAACAACATCTCAACACTGACCAGACCCCGCTCTATCAGCCTCTTCTCATATGTCACGTTCTCCAACCCCTTCAGCATCTTGGCAGCTCTCCACTAGACTCACTCCAGTACGTCAAGGTCTTTTTTTCTACTGGGAAGCCCAAAACTGGACACAGTACTCTAGATGCAGTCTCACCAGCCTCCAAATAGAGCAAAAAGACCACCTACCTGCTACACTCATGCCACTCCCACCCAGGATGCTATTGGCCTTCACTGCAAGAAGTCACTGCGTACTCATGGTTGTCCCACTATCCACCAGGACCCCCAGGTCCTTTTCTGCAAAGTTGCTCTGTATCCAGCTGTCCCCCAGCCTGTACTGGTGCATGAGGTTACTCCAGCACAGGCACAGGAGTTTGTAATTGCCTTCATTGAACTCCATGAGGTTCCTGACAGCTCACTTTTCCAGCTGACAGGCCCCTCTGAACATCAGCCCTGCCCTCCTGCGTACTGACTGCTCCCGCCAGCCTGCTACGGGCTGTGCCCTGCTGTTTACACTCTGTCCCATCATCCAGATCTTCTATAAAGACATTAAACAGTATAGGATTTAGTATCAATCCCCGAGGGCTGGCCCCTAACTCTGTCCTGCTGATCATAATCCTTTCAGCCAACAGAACAATGAATTTCCCATCCGTCTTACCAGCTACTTATCCAGTCTCTACCCAAATAGTTTGGATGTACAGATACTACGGGAGACGAAGTCAAAGCCCTTCCTAAAGCCACAGCATACACCATCCACCCTCTCCTTGTCTGCAGAGCCAGCCATCACACAAGGCAAGCAGGCTGATTTTGAAATGGTATGGGCTACGGCAGTGCATCTCGTAACCAACTCCACCCTTAAAACTGAGAGAATAATACAGCATAAGGGTATACATAAAAGAACCACACAGACCCGCAGTGAAGACCTAGTTAAATGAAAACTGCTATATACTCATGAACTCATGGCTTTTCAAACTGAAACAGACTAATGCTTAGCGCAGAGAGGGACCATTTAAAATCCAATTTGTTTTGTTAGGTTTGCTTCTAAAATCTGAAGAAAGGTCTAACTGAAACACATCTTTAGTGTAGGCAGGCAGTAAATCAGGAATTTCTGCCCATTTCGCTTTTACAGCCCATCTCTTATCAAAGAAGGCTAAACGCGGCATGGGAGAGAAGAGGCCAAAGCCTGTGAGGAACAGCAGCCTCCAGAGTGTCCTGTAGCAAAATGAGAAATGTCTCCCCCAAGTACATCACAGAATCCAGCTATCAGGTACATGACATACTAAAGAATGATGACAAACCAGACATTTGAAAACAATTCCCATACCAAGTTGAGATCAGCATTCCATAGGTTTCTCAGCAAGAAAAACAGGCTTAGAGCTCCCCTGCATATCCTTGTGCCTAGGCTCAGACTAGGTTAGGGTACACAGCAGGCTTTCCACCGTGGCAGAGATGTACCTCGGACATGACTCAAGTGAAAGGGGAGCAGACATGGCTTTGCATTTGTCTCTGCCCTGTGCTGCGAAGTGAAGCTGTGCAAGGACACCTCCAGCCAGTCTGTCCTGTTCTGCCACTCCTGAAAGGCACCTCCAACACTGCCTACAACTGCCCACTGTACACATCCCGCCACCAAGAAAGCACCTTCTCCTCCCTCAGCAGACTCAGCTCTGCCCCAACACTGTTAGTGGTCTCCACAATAAAACAGCAGAAGACTAAAGGATAAGTAACTAGAAGTTATGGACCATCATCGGATACAAGAGCCCAAACAACACTTCTCTTACGGTCACTCCATGAGAAAATGAGGAGTACCATTCCGCTCAGAGAACCTAGTCTCAATCCATTGCCAGGGTTGAGAACCCAATTAGCATACAATTAAGTCAGATACTATGAATCAGCGTGAGACTGACTAAGTAGCTCACCAAAACTAAACACAGTCTTAAGGTTTCTGACATAATAACTAGAACTCCCAGTCTGTCCTTGAGCGTAGTCTCAAATCAGCATTCAGGTTAAATTAGGATGTATTAAATGACTACAAAAAAGTCAAGAAGCAGGGAGAAGAAAAATACAAAACTATAAAAAATATACCAGGGTCAGTCTAAGGTTCAACTTAAGGAATGACTTACAGTTTGGTACAGGAGCTACTAAGCAACTTTTTAATTTGAAAGAGCTGTCCAAAGTAAGTTCAGGACTTATTCATTCCTTTTCACTTTTTAGAGATAACAATACAATAAACTCTAACCAAAACAAAAATTGAAGAGTTGACAAAATATCCAGTTAAAACAAAACTTACAGGCACAGATGAAGGTTTGACGTCAACTCCTGAAACTGAGTCAATGAATTCATGTGCGATTTTTGTTTGTTTGTTTTCAGAAACTTGGGAATCTGTACTGATTTGAGATTAAAAGAAAATAAACCTCTCACAAATTCATTGAGCAAAATATGCTTACTGAAACCATACTCCAGCTGCAAGCAGATACACATTTCTCCATTCAGTACGGCAAAACACTGCAAAGTGCACAGTCTCTACCTTATACAGTATTTTTTATTCAGTTTTAAACGCTCCGTATAAACTTTATATAAAGTTTTCTTAGTGTGCAAAGTGAAGTAAGAAAAAGGTTTGTTTTCAGATTGTGTTGTAAGATCAAAAGACATAAATACTTTAGGAAAACCGCACACTTACGCTGGTAGTTGCACATAAAGCAGGCCTGTGCCGCAATCATCCACTCGGCTCTAGTCTCACAAAAGATAGCGATGTTAGTCTTTGGTTGCTGACCCAATACTGCTAAGCCGTTTCCAAAATTAACAGCTTTAACGTATACATCTTCGTATGAAAGCCAGGTATACTTGCCAAGGATGACCTAGTAAGAATAATAAATTCAATTTAGAAAATGAAAATCCTTAACACATGTTCTACTCCATTTTTATTCACGTGAAGCAACCGCAGATGTCTGAAGTAAAAGTTGCTCAAATTCTAAAAGCAGTTTATTCAAGATAACAAATAATATTCTTGCCAAAAACTACAGGGATTGTGGAAGTTCCAACACAAATACTGTAATATCTCCACGCTTGTTATCACCTCAGTTTCTGTTTTCACATTAGGAAAGCACATGATTCCCACTGTATTTTGTAGTTTCAGAAGCCCTCTGAAAGGCCGTGGTTATCTGACAGACATGCCTTTAGATTTTTTTACAAAGGTTTGTTTTATTTTAAATAAAGGGTGACAAGCACTAGCTAGTACAATACAGGCTCTATATTTGCTTTCCCGGATATCTGGGCTACGACTCACAGATACAAATAGGATACTTAGGTGTTCGTTCTTATTAAACGAACGGGGAAACTGGAATCCAGAAAGCAGTATATCAATGGCTCCTCGGTCAAATTGTGAAATCCCCTTCTCTTCGTTTGTTCCGAAACAAATGCCAGGGGGAAGAGGAGTAATCTTTTTGCCTTTTTTTACTGCTAAACAAAAGTGGGACAGAAGACTGGGCTGGAAATTACTGGCAAATCTCAGTACTGAAAAGTCATGTGGAAAAAGTTAAGCACTCTCACTGCTCTTCTACACGGGAAAGCTGGTGCACAGTAAAATTGGACTTGAATTGACAGTTCACCATCATAAATTTCTATGTGTGCACTTGCACCTTACAGTGCTATTTTCTCACTGATAGGTTATTTCTTTGACAACATCCTAGAAATTTTCATATACAGATATAGTTCACAGAAGATGTTTTTCACTGAAAATCCAGACTCAAACTATTGTACCTTATGTGTCCAGTTACACAAACACCTTGACAATTTTGAAAACTAATTTTTATTAGTCAAGTATTTCAAACATTCCCTTTGGCTACACAGCATTAGCAATAAATGCAAGCAAACAATAAAAAAAAAAAAAGCTAGAAAAGCAAACATCCCCCTCCTCCCTCCATTGAGTTTTCCAGGTTTTGTTTATCAACTTCAACTAAATTTCAAACTTGTGGGCTGTAAAATCTAACAACTTTCTGGCATGTAACTACATTCCTAATGAATCGGTATTTCCACATCCACTTCCTTAATAAAATGTATTTTAAAATCTCTCAAACTCTAATAGAAAAATGAAATCTAATAGATTTATCAAAACACTTTCAAATTGCTATTGGGTAACTGAGTTGTACCCACTGCAGCCTTACTGCATATTGCTCATTAACCTACTTGTTTTGCAGGACAAAACCTTTTAACTCAGGACAGGTGTATAGGCAGCTGCTTGGAAATTTCACAAATGTCTTCATGGGTCAATATGATTTATCAGACCCAAAAAACAATACTTGCCAACAATCCCAATACTTAGCAATTTCACTGGAAAATAAACATTTCACATACAAGTATCTGCTCAGGTTGTCCTGTTTTATTTACAGAAACTCAGCTTCATTGGCAACTATGCCGTTTCAGAGCCAAAAACCTTACTGGAGAAGAAAGACCCCATTGAATGTCACTGCTGTAACCGGTGAGAGGCGCAGCAGAACCGCTGCCCGACCACAGCCGCAGCACCGCGGGGCAGAGGGCTCACATCGCTACCGGCACCCACAGCGACAGCCCCCCTGCGGAGAAGGACCTGCGAGTTCCTTTAGGTTTCGACACACCGAGATATTTCTGGTGTGGAAAACTTCTACTGCTTCCAAAGAAAATATTGCATCTCTTCCCGTCCATCCAAATTTCGGTAATTCGGAATTTTAATCCCAATTTGGGACTTTTTCCCCCCAAATGCAATATTTTTGGCAGACTTGGAAATTCTTGACAAGCGTATCAGTTGAAATTACAGAAATTAACCGGGCAACACCTTTTCCATCATTAAACTCTACCTACAGCGTGGCCTCAGGGATGCTGCTCTCAAATAATAAGGCCAAGAAATACAAGCAGATTCTTGTTACTGTTTCTGGTAAGTTTGCCAAGCTGTAAATGAACAGGTTTTTAGTAATTTCCACCATTCATTATTTAACTCACTAAAGTTGAAATAATAAATCATTAAAGGGTCAAAAATTGATCTTTCTGATTAACACTCATGATTCTGATTTTTTTCCTTTTTTATTCCCTTAAATAATTTATCCTCGTTGCTTAAACAAATTTCATATAAAGTAGTGCAAGGCAGCCTTATTGGTGCTTTCCTTTCTTTAAAGGTTAGAAAATCCACAGAAAGGAAGTACAGCACTGTTATAGTTATTTTTCTATATATAGAAAGCTATTTTTCTATATACAGAAATATAGTTATATTTCTGAAGAACACTAACATGTGAAAACAGACAAGAAGACTTTTTCAATGCAGCTGTTCTGAGTTTTACTTTTCCTACTGCCTTCCATACATTTAACTACCCAAGTTCCCTTCCTCCCCATGCCGAGTGTTTCCTCTCTATTCCCTCCCTATGACATATTAATATACTGCCTCTGTCCATACATCCCTTTCTTCTGCATTTCCCTATTGCTTCATTTGCATGACATAGCAGGTTACGGTTTCTCTCATCCTTCCTTACGTTTGAGTACGTCTCCAAATCCATCTCTTTTCTCAGCCCTTGCCTCAGTAGCTTTCCCTAGTATTTTCCAATGTACATTTTTTACTGAAAACCGTTGTTAAGACAGATGTTAAGTGCCATAATCTTTTAATCATTTACACACGTTGAATTTTACAGCTTTCAGAACTTATTCTGCTCGATAACTACCTAACACACCTAAAGAAAGTAACAGTCTAAGAGTCTGCAAGAGAAGGGCCCAAGAAGTCACAATTATTGAGAACTGATTAAACAGAGTATAGAATCAAACACTGAATTAGAAGACAGCACCTCAATGTTTACTTCAAAATACTACATTAATAGAAAAATACTGCCCTCTAGTGCACCAGCTTTTAAACATACTTAAAGTGCAAGTTATTAGAAATACTTGACCTACCTATTTAATGCATTGGAAAATATTATTATATATCAGTACTGTATTAACATTTGGAAATCCAGCAAAGTATAAAGACCAAATACTTGCTGCATAGTGAAGGTTTCTTAAATCTGGGTTTTAGGGCAACTACATTCAAATCTTTACTGTGGAAGTGTCAAAGTGTTCTTAAAAAAAGCTGCAGGCACACGTAGAGTCATTAAACTACCAGACCTCAGTTACCTGTCAAGGTCTTCCTAAAAGTAGCTTATAAGGTTCGAAGAACCTTGACTACGATTTGAAAACCAGTGATCACGAGTTAAATACATACCCTTGTAGAAAATACATTAAAAAAAATACAAAGGAGGTTATCTGAAATGCCAGTTTTTGGCCTTTTTCATAGAAAAACATGGATTGCAGCTGAACACTTCTGAAAAAAAACCCCACAAAAATATTATTTACATGGCACCTGTGCTTTTCAACATCATAAGCTACTCTTACTTCTCGATGCCTTGGCATGAATAGAACCTTCCTGCAACTTCACAGCAAGTTTCAGTATCAGCTATAATGAGTAACATTCTGAATTCCCAAGCGCTTGGCCATGTGCTTACTGTTTCACGTAAGTCTCACAGGCTTTAGATGTATCACTCTCCCCTACCAAAATCATGTCTACTTTTCCCCATTATGTCGTATTTCCACTAATTCTGCTCTCAGTTACAAAACCTTCTTAAAACAGAACAAAATAAACAAGCCCCCTGCCAAAAAAAAAGAACAAAAGAACACACACAAAGCAAAATCCACATACCAACATATATAAAAGCAAGCACGTGCCAATATAACCTGTAACTAAGATTACATAAAATAACAAACCAGCAGAATAAAGTTCATCTTTTGGGCATCATAAGATTTAAGTTCTGCTGAAATTAATCTTTTTTTTCAACTAATTACATCTTAATCTCTGAAGTGTTTTCAACATTATTTTATCCTGACAAACACATATTTTATGCAATTAATATTAGGTATGCTCTCCAATCCATGTATTAAACTAACTACATATGAAATATCCTAAAATGCAAAGTGAGCAGAAGCAAGTATTTGCATTTCATTAACATCCGTCAATTTCTGCTACTTCGGCAACTACACACGAATAAATTAATCTTTTGTACAACATAATACCATAAAAATTCAAGAAATTACAGATTATCTGGGATATCATTGCTTTCAATAAATTAACGTAGTATCTGATCTTAAAGATGTTCTATATATCTAACTTTAAATAATTTTAGCTAGAAGTGTGAGCACAGTTAGTTATCCTAAGAATCAGAAGCTTAATATTTTACTTTTTTTAGATATGTACTTACCCCATTAATTAATTAATTATTAATTAGGCTAATCTAGCCCCATGCAATTTGCACAGAGACATCTTCTACTAGGTAATGCAATTCAGTACACAGACCCATGATTTACATTCAGATCTGCCCCTGACTTGCAGATGACCAGAAAAATGCATCAATCATTCCCACCACTGTGTTCAATTTCTGAACGGGAAAAAGCTATTAACATGTTTTGCAACTCCTGTAAGGTATAGAAGTTACATGCATGATATCTAAGTATTTAAATTGTCACGCACCTTTTCAAAAAGTTACACCAAATAAACCTCAACAAGATGCCTTTATTAAAAGGAACCAGGCAACAAGAAGATGCATGTTACAAAAGACAAAAATCAAAGGAAAAGAACCCTGACATTTAGAATCAACAAGGTATCTTGTGAAATTTTCCAATTTCTCTCACTTGCTAAAACATGTTATGAGGTATTAAGAAACACTGTATTCCTTAAGGGGGGTGGGGGGTGGACGGGACGGACACGGGACACCACCCAAAGAACTTAAAAGTAGAGTTATGTGATAATGCCACAACTTGGAACAAAATAATTTGAGGGCAAGTATGGTAATGGACTATAATGAACTGTTGTGCCAAGCTTAGACAAAATTACCTAACTTAGGTAATTTCTAAGTCTAAATACTTGTTTCTAAGTCATTTAAGTAGGTCAACACCAACATTCTTCAGCTTTCCAATATTCAGAACACTTTGCTTGCATAATGGAATTGCATAATGGAAACAGCTAAAACTCCTAAGTTCTTAAGCCTTACATTACTAATTATGTTTGAAAAACAGAGCACAGATCACGGGCAGTCAAAATTCTGATTTATGCACAGAATCCCACTTTGTACAACACGAACTTTCTGTTTCTTTATAGGGCAATGAGGCAGCAAAACGTGTATCAAGGAGGATTACATGTACTCATTTCTCCCAGCGTTTCCTTCATACTGAAAAATTAACTCCATAGCTGGGAGGAAGTTTCACTAACAATTAGAGCTTATATAAAGATTTTAACAGAACTAAACTTTGCCATATATTGTGGTATTAACCAAACGCTACTTCAAACATTATATTCCTATACCAGAATTAAAACTAGCTGTATTTAAGGAATCCTGTATTATACGGAGAGGTAAGTGTCTCCTCTGCAGGAAAATGAATCTTAACTAAAAATTGTCTTTATAGCATGTAGCTGCTAACTTCTAACACAGAAGTGCAGACCCCTTTAACACATATCCACACATATGCATGTATCCTGTTGAAGGTATCTTGACTTGCTTCTTCAGGCAAAACTGCATTTTTAAATGCCTCTGAACAAATACAAAGCAGCAACTGACAACGCAGGCCTGAACGTAAAAGACTATAAAAATTCAGTCCCTTGAAACAACGGAGTTTTATATTGAAACTACATCTCTCCCCACTCTGATTACAGATTTGCAGAGAAGTAGTTCACCTTAAAGGAGACTGAAAGGCAAAACCAGCCAAACAAGCAAGAGTATTCCAATTAAAGTCTGTGCCATCCCTTTCCAAACAAAAAATTCATTTAAGTCCTGAATTCACAGGGCAAACCAGTAAATCCTCAATTTACAGTTAAGTTTACTGGAAAGGCACACATGAGTATATAGTATTTCTCTATATTTATCTGATTATGGTTGAAAATAACACAAAGGGAGACTTTTTTTAATTCACCTACAAGGAAAACTTTGAAGTCAGTTACATCATCAGCTAAATATTAAAAACAAGTACCTAAAACATATTTGTGTTTTTTCTTTGGCTGAAACCATAAAAAAGGATATCACTCAAGAATGCAAAAAGAATGTTTAGATTTGTTTTACATACCAAGTAATGAAAGACTGGGAATTACATAATTTAACTCTTTTCATGACTACTTAATCTAAGTAGAGAAACTTCTCCCCCCCCGCCCCGATTTGCTTGACTGGACTAGAAGCGTTGCAAAAGAAAGTAAATACACTTTGAAAAATCTTGAAGGCAGACTGCAAAAAGACTTACCTTTTTAAAAACTTTTCCCGATGGCTGGATTTCATCTTCCTCTTTTAGGATTTCACGTGTTCCCAAGAGTTTCTTGTCCTTAAATTTAGTTTTAGCATATTTAAAAACTTTGTCGAGTGTATCACACCCAGGATATAAAACTGAAGCTAAGCAGTGTAGACTGTTAACAGATCTGTACGCACCCCCAGGCTTGTTATTCACAGGTTTAGCTTTAACCTGCTTGGCTTTTGCTATAGCCTGCCTTGATCCTGAAAGTATGTACCACGGAATGTACGTTACAAAGGAGTACACCAAGATTATAAAGTTTATAAACTGTAGAAGAACGGGATTGATGTTATGCTTCAACTTCATTTTGGCTGCTTGTGAAGGTTACAAGGGAGAATTCGGAAACATGGATCAATTAGACAGGGATCCAAAGAGATCTGAAAAGAGAAAAGAAAACGTTAGTGGTAAACTCTCCAGCTGTTTGCAGAGAGGTTATTTTCAAAAATATTATTACAGTCTACAATTATAAACAGAGTAGGTCTTTTTATGCAGAAGTTAGACTAAAAGTCTTAGCCCCGAACACAAATGAAACAAGACACCAATACATGAGGAAAAAACTCTTCCATTCCCATTTAACAGACTGCACTACTTAGTAGTATTTTCATTTCTTTGGACACTACACAACACAAACGCAGAACCTAAGGAATTCAGGACCTGGGGTTTCAATTAAACGACATGTGAATGGAATGCATTTATCTGAAAACATTACATGATTATACAATTTAAAAGATTCTCTCCAACTGCATTCCAAATACCCACATGTGTACCATCTTCACTAGCAATCTTTACAACCTTTGAGACTGTACATCATCAACCTCCATACAAGCCCTAAGAACATAAGTAATGCCACTGCTCTGTACGTGGGAACCCTGACCACTACGTACACTGAAATATTTTCCAAACATCACACAGACTGGGACACCTGTGTAAGAGAAGGAAACTTCATGGAGGAAAGCCCTGTATGCAACAGAACTTTGCTGGTTCTTTTATTCCTAGGGACCTTCCATCAGACCTAGGATTTCAGCCTCAGTACTGGTATGCAATGGGCACACTTGTTATATAAATAAACATGACAGTAAGTTAACAAATATTTGGTAAACACTGGAAAATGGCTTAGAAATATCTCCAAAATCCTAGCAACAGCACTATGAAGAGATGTGTAACTTTTTCCAGGGTCCCTAATGATGCCAGGATATTCACTTTGACTTTTTTTAAAGCATCATTTATCATATCTAAAGAACACAATGATGCAACTTTCTAATGTATTCTCCTGTGGAGGGCAAGATATTATGCCATGTATCTAAAAGATTAAAAAAAAAAAAAAAACACAACAAAATAATTAAAATCATGGAAAACAGGGACATTTGTCATAATGGCTGAAGATGCATTTCCAAAATGTGAATGAGCTACCAGGTATAAAAATCAGCGTTTTGCACATAAAAGCAAAATCAACTATAAATACACTTCAGTCAGTTAACTTTTCAAATGTATTGACACAACTGTATTAAAAGCAATACCATAAATCAAGCAACTAATAATGACGTGTACATAAGATGCACAAGTGATAATTCTTTCTAAATTAAGTAAGTTTTCATTCATAAGATACAGTGCCAGTGCCATATTATTCTTTGCTGACGCCTTACATTAACTGACTTTTTGAAAACACTAATGAAAAGAAGTTTTAGTTGAAAAAGTAACGTTTAAATCATCTAAGGTCCTTCAGTAGGAATGGAAAAAAACCTTGCTTCATTAATCTTAAGATTTGTAGGTCCTTTTGGGAACAGATCAATCCAGTATCTTTCATTTGTAGGATTAGATTAACTCCATTTTTCTCTAAACCATACAATTTCTTAAAACTCCAAGCAAAAATATTTCACCATCAACTTCTTCCCTAACAAGCTGCTGTAACCTCATCATTACCAGCAGTTTGAAGGATCCAAGCAACATCAAGGTCTATTCTGCAAAGCACCTAGAGATATATATTCAAATAAAACATAAGATCTCTTCACAGTAGGGACTTCCTGGATCAAGCGGTAGAGGGGGAAAGGGATTCGAAACCTAAATAAAATAAAGAAAAGAAAAGGAAGTGTATATATTTTACTTTTCAGATCAAAGGCAGAGAGTAATGAGAAATAAAAAAAACACTTAAGTAGGCTAAAGGGCAAACTCAGTAATCGTTTGAAGAGACTTATGTTCTTAGGCTGTCACTGAAGGATACTTAATGGAAATAATCATGTGCCAGCCAATAAGCTACTGCAGTCCACAAAAATTATGCTGCTGTTGATAGCAGCACAGAACACGATGTTTTAAAGCTGAATCTAGAGTTCACACAACAAAAGTCTACCTATTTTTCAAAAAGTTGTACATTGCACTATAATTTTGTCTGGCCCAATTCAAGGGGGTACACATTGTTTTTCCTCCTTGTGAATCTGGAGAACTCCTCTGTGCCTACATAGTTGTCATGGTTTAGGACCACACAGCCACTAGCGCAGTTCTCCCCTTCCCCCAGAAGGGCAGGGATAAGAGGGAGAAAAGGAGGGGAAAGGGAAAGGAAAAGAACTTTTGTGTTGAGATAAAGACAGATTAATTGAACAATAACAGAAAAAGAAAATAACAATAATAATAATAATGATACAAGTCACTCACCACCCAAGGAACTGGTACCTTCCCAAGCAAAGGTTGAAGATTCCCGTCCCCCAGCCAACCCCCCTATATACCGAGCATGATGTCTGTGGTATGGAATATACCATGGGCCATTCTGTTGTTCTGTCTATGCTGCTTCTCAGCTTCCATGGGAAGCTGGAAAGAGTCCTTGAAAAGATAAGCATCACCTAGTGACAACGAAAACAATATGCATTACTGACATTCCTGTCTCACCAAACCTGAAAACACAGCAACCCCTAGAAAGAAAATTAACTCTTTACCATCTGAAACCAGGACAACAGTAGAAACAGAGTTTAACCAAACACTGTTACAAGCAAAAATGAAAGCAACTGATTTCACACCCTTTGGAAAATTGTTCTCCCAAAGAAATTCCCTGTGTGACTAACAATTGAGCCTGTCCAAAAATATCCTCTCTGGGTGTCATAACTTCCCTTGGCTAGAGAGGCACAGAGCCCTTCTAGAACAGCAGCTTTACATTTGAGTTTGCAGTTATCCCAACAGCTTCATCGCTACCTCAGAAGGAGAGAGGAACCTTTTCCACCATTTCTAAAACAACCACACCAAGGTCCCCTGACAAGCTCTCCCTTCTGGCTTACCTGAAGACTTGCACGTAACACCCAAACCTGGAAATGTTTGCTTTGAATTGCAAATCATAAACTGTGCTATGCCCATCATTTCATAAAGGCTGTACTGCAGGAAAGGGTCTAAGGACACTCCAAGAGGACAGGTTAAGGGGAAATAGTTTGGAATGTCACCCTGGTTCAGAAAAGTAAGCATCCAGCTCTAGAACTCTACTCTGATGTACATCTGCTACCAGAGTAAATTGCTAATTATTTCAGTTTCTCCTTCAGTAAAGTGAGGCTATTACAAGTCAATTATTTCAAACAGTTTCTTTCAAAAATTAACACAAAAATATTTTTTCACTATAAATGTAATTTTTTTTAACCATTAAAAAAAGTATCTTTTTGCATACACAGTTTCTTGCCTTAAAGGCCAAACAGGACTTCATTTTTCTTTCTTTAAAATCTTCTAATTAGGAGATAGCAAACTTGAGCAAGAGAGTGCTCCTATGCCAGCGTCTAAGAATTTGACAATTGCTTTCAGACTGTGACATTAGTTACAAGCATTTATGCCTGTAACTAATTGCAATTACAATTGTAATTAGCATTGCAATTGGAAGTGGGAAAAGTGCAGTCTCTTTTTGAACAAGCAGGAAAAATATATTCTGGTATTCTCATTAGAAGCCTAAGCTCCAATATCTTTGTAAGATGACAGTTCTAAAGAGAGCTGAGCCATGACACAAAGAAAGTTGCTGGGTGGTCATGTAAAGGCTCACTTCTTTCTCTGTATAACCGAAGAACACAAGATGCATTTTAACTCATTTCATTTGTTTGTTTGCCATGTTGCTGAAGAGAAAAATTCCAGGTAAGCAAAGGAGATGCAGTTTAAAATGTCTTCATCTAACAGATTTCTCATCACCATTCCCAGCAGAAGAACAAAGTCAGCTAAATGGACCACTACGCATCCCATAAAAAAAAAAAAAAAAAAAAAAAATCATTTGATGACAGTGTAGGAACAAGATTTATCCCTACCTTGAAACTGAAGTGATAGCAGTAAGACAATTATCTTTTACTGCAAGCAAAACCAACGCAGCTGAGCATGACAACACATTGTGGTGTGGGTTTTATTTTTTTAAATAAAAGGTCACTTAACCTCCTTCCCCAAAAAAGACAGTTTTAATGACATAGTTAAAGAAAGAGATTGTTTTCATTACAATACAATAGTTGCACCTGCATTTTTCTCTGTAACAACTGCTATTCTGAACCTTTAATGTATGGTATTTTTAAAAACTAAAAATGAAAATACCTAATTAATAATCATTTTGCAGAACCGATCTGAAAATGGAAACTTTTAGGGAAATTTTCAAGATTGTATCAAATTTGAAAGGCTTGAAAGGGATGCCCTGTTTCCTGTATAATATTCTGCCTTTAAAAAAGCACCAAACAAATCAAAAAACAACCCACACCCCTCTGGAAGACTTAGTGAAATACTATACTGGGACTTTAAAATTTCATTGAAATACAATTTGTGGTCACCTCATTAATTTTTGAAGTATATGACTGCTTTTGACTGTAAAAAGAGGTTAAGTAAACCCAACATTTTGGGCAGGGAACGGAAAGCAGAGGACAACAGGATCCTAAGCAGTTTTTTTAAGTATCAGTTAGACTGTGACACTGCAAGAAAGTCCACTGCCTTCACAAAACTGGAATTTTGTTCTTAGGTAATTCCTGCTTAATCACCAATAAATAAAAATACATGACACGTGAAAATATTTTAACTTAGCATTTCGGTCTGCAGATTAGCTGTAAACTCTCAGGTTCTTACAGAACATGCATCCATTCTGGTTTCACATAATCTTGCTGGGATTTTTGAGGAAATCAGTGTTCAAACCCTGGCTAGTGATGCAGGAAGGGTTGGCAGATTAAATCCTGGAGGAAAGAGCTCCTAACTTATGCAAGAATACAACTTATAGAAAAACTGCAAGTGAATGTTTCTGTACACACATAAGCTGGTCAGTTTTATATAAATTCTGTTTTGTGAAGTAGTCACCAAACAGGAAACAGGAAGACCACAAGTAAAAAGTTATAGGCTTTTTCCAACAGCAAAGAGAAGAAGCAACCAGCGCACTCATTCATGAGTCTGGAGAAGTAAA